AATAAACCTAGGGAAGACACTTATGAATTAGTGAGAAATTACAGTTTTCAAAGAAATCTTTGTACTTTTAAGTAAAACCTAAAAAGAAACTTTCCTGACTATGGAAAAAAATTTTTTTAACTATTTGCCTTTAAATGATGTTAAAATAGTTTTAAATTTGATGAAAATACTTGCTTAAGTAAACAAAGTAACAATTCTGAAAATCAGTTTGTACTGATTCTTTGTTTAGCAGATTCTATTTGCTACATATAGATAGATCAAAGGTAAACTTTAATCCAGCCTTCAGGGAAAAAATAAATAAATTGAATTGTTTCAATCCCTGATCAGGATTCCCAAGGTCCCCATACTTTAGAAAAGATAAAAAATGGGTAAGAAATGGGAGATGAGGAGGGCCTCAGAACTGCATTACTTTAAAGCTCTCATCTTTGGACACAGATCATCAGTGTAGTGAGTATGATTTATAGAAACTAAAATGCTATCTTTAGAAACAGGAAGCAGCAATGATCTATCTCTATATATATCTTCTTTCCCTTCCCTCCTGAAGATCACACACACATATTTTTAAAGATTCGAAAATGATTAGAAATAAAGAAAGAAGCTTATTTTAGGCATTTCGTTTCTAGGTTTTCCTAAACGTTCAAATGTGTTGGGGGAAAAAAATCACTTCACTTCCAACTGTTCATTGGTGTTAACTCTCTTCAAGAATCTTTTTTTTTTTTTTAATGTAGAGTATGTTTAGGTAAAGGATGACTTGGTGATGTGAACACCCAGCTCCAGTCAGTCATCCAAGACAGAAGAGCCAACACAGGCTCCGGCTTTCTCTGTGTGGCTGGATTAGGCAGCTGTTATCCCAGTGGTTGTCTGAGTGAGGCTTGAGGACATGTGACAAACAAGCTGACCGCAGCCCCTGCTGACACAGACTGTGTTAACAATAACACTCAAACAGACCCACCCTGGCCCGTTCCTCTTTCCAACTCCAGACATGTCAAGTGGAAAACTGTTTCTTAGGAGCCGCCGGCACAGTACCTCTGGTTTCAAGGATCATTGCAAGGAGCCAATTCCTAAAAACAGCTGAATAGTAAAACAGGGAAGGGACAGATGTGACTAACGGAAAATTCCACTTAGATAATCATTTTATTATAAGCGCAGCTCCAAAGCAACATTACTTGGACTCCTTTGGGCCCTTGGCATAAATGCAGGTTTATGGATATTGTCTGTGGCCCCTGTGAGTCCTTGTGATATTGTGTAAAGGAACACATGTGGCTTGGAGATTTGAAGAGATCGTCTAGGATCAGTAATTCCAAAAAGAAATGGGTTCAAAGTGTACCTAGGCCATGGCTTCTTCCAGTGTGGCTTCTCCTCAGATGTAATGATAATGGACTTGGGAGGGGGAGGGGAGAGACAAATAAAACCTGGGAAAATCCACCTTATTACAACAAATGCTTCTCACTTGGGCCACCAGTCAGGTCTCTAAAGTTGCAGTGGCCTCGAGGCCCTGAGTGAGAGAGGCTTCCTCTTGGTTGCAGTGCAGAGACTGAAGGTAGGCACGGTGCCATGGTTGAGTTAAGGATGTGCGCAGGCTGTAGAGGGATCATGTAAAGGGTTTGGTGGGACTGTGCAGGCAAAGGCTGTGTCTTAATGTGTGGCAGTTCGTGGCAAGATTAAAGTGACTCCCTACAAGGAGGATCCCTATGGACCTCTCACCAGCATAGTCTGAGTCTATAAGACATATACAATTGGGTCCTGGCTAAAACCCACTGGTGTGACTGCTGTCCCTCGCTAAAGGGATGATGAGGGTGCAACCCTCCTTGAGCACCCCTGCACACATACCACCTTCGGTGTGCTCTGATCCAGGTTGGTATGATCCATAATTCTTAGTCTTCTCTGGGTCTGGCCCTCTTGGTCCTCCTCTCTGGGCCCACATAAGGTGAAGAGATTATTAAGCTTACTTTGATTTTGTTCATGTCTCAGGAATCAGAATTCTCTGGAGAGGAGCCTGCTCACAGTCCCCACTGGAAATAGCACATTGACTGGTCATTTTTTTTTTTTTAGAGTGATTTCACACATATAATGGCTTCACGATTTAGGGCCTCAGTTTCTTTGTTTGCTGTGGGGGATTAGGACGACCTGCTCACAGGATTATTAGGAGCCTGAGGGACAGGAAATCAAGAATACAACAGTGCTTCATAAACTGGAATATACTCTCTCCACTTAATAGTCATTGATAAGATCTCTTGATCAATAGCCAAGGTAGGCAAGGAGGTATGAAAAAAAGGGGGTTTCCAGGAACATGCACTGTCAGTGGTGCCCTTTAAAGTTGTGTGAGCATTACCAAGTTGATTAACTTCATACAGCCCTAATTTTCTTATCCACGAATTAGGAAAATAATACCCATTCTTACGAGGCCATTGAAAGAATTTGAAATATATCATATTACACTTAGCGAAGAGCCTGGCATACAAGAAAAGCTTTTGAAATAGCAGTTTACAGCCTTTGTGTTAACCCAGGAGACATGTATACCAATGGAACACCTCTTTCTTCTCTAGCTTGCTAATAACTGTTCTTTGTCGCTCAGGAATCTAATGTCTACTTGGTTACTATTAAGGGTGTGCAAGGGTGTTGCTAGCCAAACTGGTGGCCAGGGTGTGAAAATAAGGAAGTCAAGGGCTGCAGTGTGAATGTTTTGCTTGCATTTATTCAAGGAGTATTATTTTGGTTCCCTAGACTATTATAAAAAAACAGATATCAAGGAGCCTTACAAAATAAATACAGTAAATCAAAACAACTAAACTTCCCAGTATGCAGCTTGGTCAATTTTTTATCTGTTTGATCAAAGGTTGGGGTCTTTACTGACTCATGGGAGAACAGAAAAAAAAAAAATAAGAGAACAGGGCCTACCCAATAATAAACAATAACTTTCAATTTTTAATTTAAGAAAAAAAAATAAGATAACTTTCAGAGTCACTTCCAGATCTGTTGAGGGAGGGTGAGTCAAAAAGAAGTAGAATAAATTAAACAGAATAGCCTCCCATAAGGTTAAAAAAAAATCCCCATAGTCAGAGATTGTGAAATATCATCCTGCTACACATTATAACCACACACTTAGGCAAGGATCTCTTCTCTTGGCACCCTCTCCACAGAACGACTTGAGGCAGACTTTTCCCAGCTCTTCAACTACACAAGCACCTAGATGAAAGGAGTTATGTACATGTTGACTTGGTCATTGAGGACCAAGACACCTGTGGTTGCTGGAAGCACAGCTGGTCATATCTGAGCTGGCACTGGATTCAATTGTGTCCTCCAAAGAAAAGGGGGGCTGGTTATGACAGGAAATGGCAGCAGGCGAGGAGAGCATAAATTAGTGTTTTTATGTGTTAGAAAAACCTGTGTATTTTGTCACTCCTATAGTCAGAATTAATCTCTCTCTCTCTCTCTCTCTCTCTCTCTCTCTCTCTCTCTCACACACACACACACACACACACACACACACACACACACACACACACACCACAACACACATTAAAAAGAGATGTACACTCACTCTTGCCAAGACTATCTTATTTGTTGGGCATTTTGGTCTGCCCAGGTACATAGCAACACAGCGACAGAGCTTGTTGGACAGTCAGTCATTAACTGTCACTTTATCAAGGGGTGGGGAGCTGCCAACCTTGGCCCCAGAACTTAGTGACCCAACGCCCAGTTAAAGTGCTTCTATTTTAACAGCCCTGAATAGAGCTTTCTTGCTCAGCCCTTGGCAAGCAAACCCGTTGAGAAGACAAAAGGCACTGCATGGACTGCAAATGGATTTCGCCTCCTGGGCCAACCCTGACCACTCTGAGTGCTGTGATGAGAATGATTCTGATACCACAGTGACCACAGTGATCTACAAGGAATGCTACAAGGTCCTCTCGAAGTGAGAATACCAAGATGCATTGCTGAGCTGCCGTTTTATTAAATAGGCACCCAACAATTTCAAAAGTACAGCACCAATGTTGCCGTCACCTAAGAACTGATGCCAGGTATAGCATGCTGGTGTTTGGTATCAGAGGCTCCTGGGGTCACACACTCACCCTGCAGTGAGATGCCGCCCACAGGTTTTCTCACATTAGCCTTGCACACCTGGTTTAGTTGTTGTTGCTGTGGCTGCTCCAACTTTCCATTTCTCCCTAGGTCTTTGTATTTGCATATTCCTGCCTGAATTACACTGCAAGGCTGGAGAAGCATCTCTGGCTAATTAGGAAGAATATCAACTTTTTAAATCTCATGTTTGATGTCTCTCATTTAACATCACTTGGCTCAATTTATCCTGTGCAAGTCCAACCCGCCCACAAAGCCACATTCACTTGTGCCCCTTATTTGCCTCTTTTTTGCATCATTTCTCAAGGCAGCAATTTCTCCTTGGCATGTGCCCCCTTAAAACAAGTCTAAGGTACCTGGGTCCATTAAGACCACAAATTTGCACAGACAATGGCCAAGACAGTGAGTTCACTGACTATGGAACATTGGCCACCTGGCTCTGATAACCATGGCAGCCACCCTGGCTATCTGGATCCCCCTGATGTCTTTTTTCCCATTCTTCTTTTCAGGAGAGGCTGTCCCGTGATGATGTGAGGCAGGAAAAGTAACATCTGGGCAAACAGCCAATGGACATCTTTAAGACAGTGACCCATTTCAAAAACTTTTCCTTTCTTGATTAAAATTACTGTTACCTCTTCAGGTTCTTTTTAGACTCTCACCTTTCTTTGTGCAGGTAACAACTGCAGCTTTGGTCCACTTTAGACCTCCCACAGTGCAAAGTGGCAAAGAGGCAGCAAAAGAGGGGGCTGACAGGGGGTGTGAAGGGCCTCCCCTTGTGCCAAACTATGCCTGCTTCCCACCCACTGTGCCTTGTGCTCACCAGAGGCCCAGAAGGGCAGAACCCTTCTTTACAGCAGGGAGATGGAGCTTGTTAGTTTGAAGAGGGAGAAGAAAATAAAAAATTGTTTTGTGACATTTACCTGTTCCTTTATATAGGTCTAGCCACTTGGGAATGCTCCTTCTGCTCTCCCTGTGTGTTCTAGTATAAAAGACAGCAGCCACCATCTCATGAGCCACCGCTGCTACCATAAAAAAAAATTCAGAAAGATTATTGAACTAAAATATATTATCAAGTAAAAATTAAGAATACGACTCATATATATATCTCAAGTCACTTGGCCTGTCTCAGGGAGGTTAACACCTGGATTCTCATGTAAAAGATAGATTGATAAACCACTGTCAGAGAGAGAATTCAGAGGCGGGTAAATAATCCAATTCAGGGAGAAAAAGAAGTTGTTTTTCTTATATTAAATGGATTTGCCTCCCGACCTGCCAACAGGGAAAAAATGTTTTACTTTTCTTTCATTTTTCAGCCACCCATGGCAAGTATACAGTCTCCAATCACCATGATGAGGTTAGGCTACCATAAATAGGCCTCAGAAAATCTACCCTTTTATACCCTGTCACTTGTATTCAGGAATTTTCATTTTCCTCCTTGGAATTAAAAAACAAAAACTTTTGGTCTCTGAGTTTCTGAGTTAGTTTCTCTTTTCTATGATTTCCAAGTTTAATGATGGAAAAGTCCGTGGAGATAAGAATGCAGAATTGGATCCAGTTTGAAGTCCTGGGATAAATACTACTTGTAACTCTAAAAGTCCATCAATCATCCTGGGCACCACTGGGCAGCAAACAGAAGTTGAATAATATTAGGAAACCCTATTCTAGGGACTGGGGGTATAACTCAGGCATAGGGTATTTGACTAGCATACACAAGGACCTGGGTTCAATCCTCACACCAGGGGAAAAAAAGGGAAAAAAAATCCCATTCTTACAACTGTTCTATTTAACTCTGTTTATAGTATGCTCAGTTATGCTTAAATCATTGAGTCACAAATAAATGCATAATACTTACCAGATCTTTAAGAGGTGTCTCTTCCCTTCTCAGTGGAGGTAGCGATTGAGTTGTTGGAAGGACAAATTGCATTAAATACTTCAGAGAGATGCTTTGCCACATTGTTCCTAGGAGAAGAAATAAAACAAAATTATCAGCTCATTGTATCCTGGTTCCAATGAGCCTTAGCCTGACTTTAAGGAAAAAGCACTATCCACAAGAGACAAAACCATGAAACCAGAACCCATATTCTGAAACTTGAATTTTAATAAAACAAGGGCATGCTATTTCTCTAAATTGGTCATGAAAATTCTTTTTCTTTTTACGGAGTAAAATATTACTGCTTCCATTTGGCAATCTTAGCCTAAGAAACTCTGTAGTTGGCATGCACATATGTGGACTGTGTATAGAGGTGGAATTCCATCCCATGATTCCTAAACCCAGAGCCTGAATGAAGCATTTAATCTTTGTGGTTGTTTAGCCCAACAATTTATTGGGTTATTGATTTTCTTAGCTTAGCCATGTCTATGTGGGTCAGTAGTTGAATGTTCGATTGTAAACTCCCTATAGGCAAATACAATTCACATCGTATAATCTAGAGGCGTTTATTGCTTTGGTGGTGATTGGGATAGCTTTACTATCCCACCAATTACTTTCGTGGAAAGCTTTAGAAGAGTTACCATGATGTGGTAGTAAATTTCCAGAAGAGTTGGCTTTCTTTTATTTTTAAACAAACATTAGAAGGAGGAAAAAAAATCATCAAATCCAGACAGGAGGACAAGCTTGGATTCAGCAATAAAGGCAGGAAAATATTTCATAGACAGAATGTCAAGTGATTTCCATTATAGCAAAGGACCCAAAATTGGTATGAAGAAGCCATGAGTGGAATTTTACAATCAAGCTAAACTCTAAGTATAAAACTCCAGCATGTGATATAAGAATTTTTTTTCATGTCTGAAATGAGAGTAAATCAAAGGTAAAGATTGATAATCCCAGACAAGGCAAGAAACATTTGTATGCATTTAAAGAAGGAGGACATGAATTGCAGACTCCCTGACATCCAAAAGTCTCAGTAATATTAATTGAAACAATAGAGACCCTCGACACCACTGATAGCTCGTGAAGGGCATGACTCTGAGCTCTCCCAACACAAGCCACCCTCTTCCTGGTATTTTCAGATCGGGCCAACAAAGCATGCTGTGAGTCCAGCAGAGAGGGGAGGCCAATAAACCTCTGCAAACTGACATCTCTTTTTTATCTCTTATCTGTCCTTTGACTCCAAGTGACTTGAAGAAACTGGGTGGTAGATTCTCTTGAGAAGTTCTGCTGAACAGGAAAAGCAAACCAAACAAAATAAATAATGACCTCCCTTGCAGGAATTTCTTTTTTTAAAGTATTCACTTCAAAGGACACCAAAGCCTCCTTCCCCTGCTCTCGCCCATTCCTGCTCCAACCACAACGAGCGCCTGTCTACAGAAATAACCCATAAAGAGTGGTTGGGAAATGAATGTGATGCCTGCCATCGTGGGCTGCTGCTCGATCACTCCCCATGGTTTAGATAGTCTTGGTCACTCAAAGCTTCTCCTAAGTCTTGGGCATTGTGTTCCTACAGCCAAGGTTCTATTTCCAGGCCTAAGTAATGAAGAGTCATTATCCCACATTCACTCCAGTCATTGTTCCTGGGGGTTTGACTTTGAAATCCTACTTGAGAATGCATGCTAATGACAGCCTTTCAGGGATTACACTCACTCAAATTTACTGTGTGTGAGTGTGTTTGTGTGTTGCTGGGAATTAAATGCAGGGCCTTGCACATGCTAAGCACATGGTCTACCACTGAGCTACATTCCTGGCCCCTCAAATTATTTTTAAATGTTAGTATTACCATTCACTCAAAAAGCAAAGCAATTAGCTCGAACCTTTGACAAATATACTCACCATTACCTAAAAAACAAACAAGAAATAATGCCTAGGAGATGCCTCAAAAAACTTGAAATAGAACCACCATTTGACCCAGCTATCCCAGTCCTTGGTTTATATCCAAAGGACTTAAAATCAGCATATTACAGTGATGCAGCCACATCAATATTTATAGCAGTTCAACTTATAATAGCTGAACTATGGAGCTAACCTAGGTGTCTTCAACAGATGAATGGATACAGAAAATGTGGTATATATACACAATTGAATATTACTCAGCCTTAAGAAAAATGAAATTACGGTGTTTGCCAGTAAATGGATGGAGCTGGAGAATATCATGCTATGTGAAATAAGCCAATCCCCCAAACCAAAGGCAGAATGTTTTCTCTGATATGTAGATGCTAATTCACAATAGGCATGGCAGAGCAGAGCTAGGGAAGAATAGAGTTACTTTAGATTAGGTAGAAGGTAGTGAAGGGAGGGGAGGGGGTATGGGGATAGGAAGGATAGGAGGATGAATCAGACATTATTACCCTATGTACATATATAACCATATGACTGGTAGGATTTTACATCTTGTACAACCAGAATAATGAGAAATTATACTCCATCTATATATGATGTATCAAAGTGCATTCTGCTGACATGTATAACTAATTAGAACAAATTTTTTAAAAAGGGGAAAAAAGTTATAAAAAAGAAATAATGCCTAAAATTTTGTCAGCTAGAGCTGCTTTTTTTAAATAAGAGAAAATAATATTATCTAAAAAATAATATTATTATTAATCTTTTAAATGATAGCATTAATTCCAGAAAAGATTCGAAAAGTTGTACCACCCTTTTATTTCTCAGTTGTGGAAATTGAGGCATAATGTGGTAAATGATTATCTCAGGGAAATTGTACCTTGGAATTCCTTTTATCTTAATAATACATTATTTAATAAAAACAAAGAACTCAAATTCCTGCATACACTTTATCATTAAGCCCCTCAACTCTTGTTGGAATCAATGAAAGCAGGCTCTAAATCCTGTCCTGCACCTCCCACACGGGAGTCTGGCCCTTGGTGGAGTAGGCAAGGGCTGCCCACACGTGGCCCTGGGAGCTTGCTCTGAGCATAAAGAGGACTTGAAGACTTTAGAAAAGGATTCTTCCCAGATCAAACTGTTCTGGAAAATTCCCCTTTAATTCATGAATCAGAGAGAAAAACTGGAGCCAGGCCCCGTTTTAAGCATGGCAGTTCTCCATGACCGAGGAGCTTGTGCATCTCACAATCTAGAAGGTGCCAGCTGTGCAGTCAGCCAGCTGACAAACGTGGTCCTGCTGAACACCAGGACTCCTGTGTCAGCCGTGAGGATTTCTTGTTCTTCCAGGGCTGGGGGAGGGTTTCAAGGAACAGAAAGGCAGAAGTGCTGAGCTCGGAGCCGGCCCTGCTCTCCTACCCCACCCCAGAGCCTCCCAAGGACTCAGTGGCTACCTGATTTAATAGTCTCCATTCCCAGGAGGGCATCACACTCCCAATTATCTCTTTTTCCTGCATCCCTAACAACTACACAGAATGAAGAAAAGGCTCTTGTTACACAGGTGGAAGGGTGGAAGATAAGATCTTGAAATAATAATCATTGTGTTTTCTTTCTTTTCAGCACTTCCTGACCTTTCCCCTAGTGGGCAGAAGTATCCACTTTGTCTGAAGAAGAATTAAAGTTGTTATGACTGGAAGGCTGGGAGAAAGGAAAGGTTATTTTTCCGAAATGTTTATTTCCACTGAGGCTCAACAAGAAAGGCAGATCAGAGAGTTTATGCTAAGACAAAGATTTGTGGGAGGCCAGCACCGGGAGGTCTGCTGCAGGTCTGGCTGGCTCCTGTCAAGAACATATGACCACACTCCTTGGCTGGTTTTTCTCTCTCAGCTGTGCAGGGGTCTTCCGTGGCATGTTCTCACATATCCCCCCAGATGATCCTCCCATGACCCGGAAATTTGCTGAACCTGTCTGAGACTCAGACACTTCCAGAGCTCACCTCACCATCTGGGAAGAAGAAACTGATCCTTAACTCCTAGAAGGTGAAAGTAAAGACAGGAGGCAAGTGAAGCTGTGGGGTGTTTTGAAGACAGACAAGGTATTTCCAAACAAGAACAATAAAAGTTGGTGTTGCCGGCCTTTCTAAACACCTGAGGGCTCTGTGGAGATATGTGCTAAGTGGAGGGTGGTCCGGGAGGGAGGTGGAAGTGGTGGATACTGCTGGCTTCCATCCACTGGTCTGTGCCGGGCTGCCACTGTTTACTTCCAAACCATTATTTCATTTAATCTTCACAATAACCCAGTAGAATAAATATTATCGTATGGATGAGGAAGTAGACGGCAGTGCTTCTGACCTTAACCACTAGACTGGAAAGACAGAGAATAAGCGTAATATATTAAATACTTATTTTCTGAATTATGTCAATTCTATTTAAAAGAGCTACTTTTCAACCAGAACTTGAAAAGCTTAAAAAGTTTTTGCCATTAAACAAAATTAAAATCTACCTAACGAGATGGTCTGAGACCTAGCTCCTAAATTGGATAATATGCTAATTTACCACAAATTTATGCAGGAAAGAATCTCCTGGGCACTTGAATGAAAGCTTAAGAAGCAAACATGATTCCTCAAGGAACATGTCAAAGAACAGCAGCCCTGGATCTTAACTCCCTTTCGGGCATGGAAGGGAGTTTCCTGCAAGCTCAGACCGCACTGGGAGCTGGTCCCCCACTCCCTCCTCAGCACCCCTTTGGATCCCTGGGGGGTACAGTGAGCTTTTGAAGAGCGTTTTGCCAGTGGCAAGAGAAAGACAAGGGAGATGGGTCCTTCATTAGTTTTCAAGTTGTCTCCTTTCCAAGGGAATCTGCTGGGAAATTCCCTTCACATATCACAAATAGGGAGGCAGTTCTCCAGGGGACCCTTTCCCATTTCAACCCAGTCAGTGCAACAGAATGGTCGGGTAACTCAGCTGACTTGGTCTTATAGCTGATTTGGGATGTTTGGGGTATTCTCAATTTAGGTCCTCAAATTCTTTTTTCTTTCTTTCTTTCTTTCTTTCTTTCTTTCTTTCTTTCTTTCTTTCTTTCTTTCTTTCTTTCCTTCGTTCTTTCCTTCTTTCTTTCTTTATCATGTATGTAAAGCAACATATTTCTGCACCATTTAAGAGGAAAGAAAGTTAGCATGAGCTGCCAACAG